TATATATATATATATATATATATATATATATATATATATATATATATATATATATATATATATATATATATATATATATAATTGTGACCTTGTTGCTTTTTTCTCCAATAGCTTGCTCTCTCCTTCTACGAACTTGGTACTTCTATGTACTCCACCACACTTATACATTATAGCATGTTAATTTTATCGTGCTTTTGCTACAACTTCCACAGTATTGTTACATCTCCTGCCTTCATCACTGTTGAAATTGATAGGCCTACCCATAATTTTACCTATTTTCGTAGGGTGGATAAAGGAAAGAAGAGAGGGAAAAACAGAATATTGATGTCTTGATCCATCATTTCATTTATTTGCGCCGCTACTTCATTTTTTTCTCTTTCTTAAATTTTTGTTCCAGACTGTATTACTGCAGATTCCTTCTTCGTCATTCTTCTTTTTCGAGCATAGATGTATTCACCTTTTGCTATGCTTCCATTCGATCTTAGTAGGAACGGTTTTTGTGCTATCTGAAATTATGGGAATTTTTATAGCACTCACTTTTCGTACCGGTGACACTAGTGCACTCCATTAGGTGTGAGCTCTGCATTTGTTCCTCAATACATTTATGCCTTTTTCATTGATTTAGTTGCAATCAAGGGTAGCTAACTCCACTGTACGTTATTGATTATTCGTCATATAGCATTTATTGCAAGTATACGTTTGTAGATGTTATCTTTAGGAAAATTTTGTGTTCCTTAGATTATTAATGATTATCAGAAACCTAAATTTCAAACCATACTGACATGTCACATGTATATGTGTTGTAACTGTTAAATCATATTTTGCTGAATGATTTATTTTGTATCACGTAAAGAAAATTGTCACTTCGCATCATTGTAAGTATTGTTGATTCGGTACATGAATTCTAAACAAAATTGATATTTGGTATTTAAATTTCTTTACTTTGAACTGTTCTTTGTACAATCGTGTGTTTCGGAGGACAAAATACAGCGTACTCAGCGATGTTTTTTCAGTGTAAGCAAATCAAAACATAACAGTCATATCATGCGACGCCACGTGGCGCGGTGAATTCTTAAGGATGTCTTGCGTTGAACATGAAGTTCCTCCAGGTGGATCTTCTGATGTTCCCCTGGATGGTTCCTCCAGTGTAAGTGATGTCACTTTTTTTTTACTTCGCTTGTAGCAATTTATTTTTTTTTTTTTTGATAGCATTTGAGATAGTTTGTTTTAAATGGAATGACAAATTAGTGGGAAAGAAAAGGGTATATCGACAAATTGGAAGAGATCGAAATTCATTTACATTTGAATACGGTCCACTGAGGTAGCACAATCCAAAGTACAGATATTTTATGAATATAACTTAAGATGTAAACGAATCAGGGATTGGATCGGATAACCATGGCATGATTTAGTTTGTTTAATTTATATGTTTGATTTATATCTCAGTCTCATGAAATCCATGTAGGAAAACTTTTTCATGAGATATCAGTACCGTATTCTTCGGAAACCTTCGTGACTTCTGAGTTTATTAGAAACATATAAAAGATGCTGTTGCAAAAGAGGTCATCTAAGTAGCATGTTCAGGTTTTAATTCCGGATCGTCAGTATTGTAATCGTTGAATTATGATAGTTTTTCCTGTAACGGAAGAAACCTAGACTCCGCCTCTACATGGTTATCCTCATGGCCATTTCTAATTATAGCTTTAATTCCGTTTGGAGAGAGTACCATTTCTTTGTTTTATTAGCGTTTTAGATTCCTCTTAAATCGTCATATTCTTAAGTTCAGTTCATTTGGAAGTGGAGGAGGGCAGAACTCAGACTCAAATTCTGAGCAGACTAAATTTTTCTATCTATAAGTTTTCGTCGTGTTTGATTATATAAATCTTATTCGTAGGAGGATTTTTCAATTCATTTGTTATTTAAGAACGATAATGGCGTAAGCCAGTAATATACTAATTATTAGTCTCATTCGGTTATTCGGTGCACGTCGTCTGATTTTGGTGTAATGATATGCTGGTTGTTGCTAGGAAGTTTTTTGCAGTCAGTTTTTAGATGCTTTAAGCAATATTGATTCTTAGAAGATTTTCGCCACTTCTGTATTTCCAGCTTATTATGTCTGGCCATTCTTTTTATCAAATATGTTCTGAAGTTTGCTTATACAGGAAGAGAGATGTGGTTATGTTCCTCATCAAAAATGTATTATTGTCAAAAATGTATTAATGTAAGACTTGGATTGTTGCTTTATTAACCGAAAGCATTATATGCTAACAGTATGGAAACTGGAAGTGAGACTGAGGGAAATCTGCATGGTTTGGAGATCAGAAACTTGAATCATTCATTACTCCCTTACTGCTATTATCCTTAATCTTCATTTATCATTAAGTAAGCAGGAAATTCCTTAACTGTGTGATAAAAAAAAAAAAATTAACAAATAGTAGAAAAGAAAGGAAAT